AGAGTGGAAGAAGGATATATGCAGCTTATAAGAACAGGTCTCAGACCTGTGGCATAATTCTAATGTGGTATAGCTTATTATCTCTTCAGTAAGTGTATAGTGACTTTAGTAATGGTGTCTTTTTAATTAAAAACTTCTAAGAAGCTCTTAGATCTGAAGTTTAGTGAATTCCATTCAATTCAGGGGAAGCGTTCCAAATGTGTGTCAGTGAGAGGGAATTTGTTTTATCTAGGAGGTTATTGCCTGTAATGATCCTTGACCAACAACCCATATAAAACCCTATTTTTTCCGTAGATAGAAGATAGTAGGAGCAGTTTCTCCAAGAATATGTCTCAAGCACAGCCTAAAGTTTCTGGCCTGAGAGAATAAATCAATCTATATGGTCAGTTTGATCCCTCACCTCTTAATGCAATGCCAGGTTTGAGAGTTCTAATTGAACATTGTTCCGTAAGGAAACGGGCTGAGGCTAACGGGTCACTGCATAAAAGCCAGTTCAGAGAAACATCTCGTGATACTGCCAACCGGCGTCCCAGCTCCATCATGAATAGGCAGTCAGATGTTACGTGTTACCTCATCTTTCAAGGAAAATAGGCTACTGATGTCTTTCAGCTTGTCGTTATCTGGGCCACTGCATTTTACCACCACCGCAGAAAGAAAGATCAAGGGACTTTTCAGATTCTTTCTAGGAAGAAAAATAGGAAACTGCTGGAAACTGTGCTTTTTGGCCATTGGTTAAATATAGCTTGTAAAAGAATCATCCCATTTTTGCCATGTGTGTCACAAGTCACTTGATTAATTAATGTTTGTTTTCAATTGGGTGCACTGTTTTAAGTCAAACTTTGATGAATGCTGGCACAAACCAAGTTATTAAATAGAAAACTATAGTAAAACATTATTTTGTTGTAAATCGAAAAGAAGGATGCCTGATGCCAGAAAGCAATTCACCATACACGAACAGGACAATTCGTTATTGTTCTGCTTAGTGGTAGACTTTCCCTTTAAGCCGTGTGCATATAAATACTTTAAAAGCAAAACTGTAAATCTATGCAGTGATGATAAATAAGGTTACAATAACAAAACATCAAATTAATATTCAATATATCAATTAAATGTTTTCTTGTAAGTGTCTGTAGTTTGTAAGTAACTGTGTACGCCTGATTTAAAGTCTCTGGATAGAAACTCTCTATTTTCAAATCTGGGTTGATCGAATGTCCAGATCCTAGTAGTCAAGACCACATTCTGTTTGTTTACATCTACAAGTGTAGCAATTTATTAAGCAAAAGTCAAGACTTCAACTACTGCAGTAAAAGGAGAATTGAGGACACTAAGTGCAGCTTGTTTATAAACAATATGACCTATAATGAAAAGGGTTGGGGTTAACTAAACAGGGAGAAATGACGGGAAATTGTATTTCCAGTCTGGTTATGTTCAGAGGGAGAATTCTGGAGTTCTGTGTATCTGCTTCTACTGCCTGAAGTCTTAGAGCAGAATAACACTGAATTAGTATGAAAAAAAAGAAGCTTGTATTTGGTGTTAGGTTAGAATAACTGCTTTCAAACAATTTTTTAAAAATATATTTTATTTAACTGCTGAGATTCTGTTAACCGACTCTGAACTTGAGTTCTGCTGTCAAATTACGAAGTGGAGAATGTAGGTTAAGAACAACAGCAATTTCTACAAGAGGAAAAGACAAATTTGGACTGTTGCATTAATTCACAATCCTGCATTGAGATTTAAACTAGTACCTAAAGGTAAAAGAGGTGTAGGAATGATTTTGGTAAGCAGGTACACAGCTGCTCCCTGGAGTTGTGACGAACACTGCTTTCCATTCAAAACAGAAACAATCCTAACCTGGTGTCCTTTGCAGCCCTTCCGTCCGATGGTTGTGAGAGCACTCGAGCTACAAGAGCCCCTTTCTCCAGGTTGAGTTCCTCAGCGTTTCCAGGGGGATTCCCCCTGTGCAAAAGCGCAGCTTGCTTTTTGATTAACTGGCAGTATCTCCTCAAACTCGAGTCCTGTTCAAGGAGAGTTGTTCAGCCCTGGCAGGGAAAAATGGGTTCTCACTACCCTCTGGTTTGTGCATAATAAATACTCAAGGCCAGGTCTTCACCGCAGTGGTGGGCAGGTGTGGAATTGGCACAAATTTGGGACCTGTGAGCTGCGTGCAGCTGCCAGGAGTGTCGGCTGCTGCCGGGCTGCCCTTGGTATCCTCAGGCACAGGGGACGGCGACAGCACATGGGACTCTCCTGGGATGGCATTCGTGCAGCTGTTACATGTCCCCGAAGTGAGAAGCGCCATCTGACAGCTTGGAAATGGGGGTGTGCTGACTGGACGTATGGGTCCGTTGTGCCCGTGACTGCAGTTTGTGAATAAGCAGTCTGTCTTCAGGTCCCACATAGCACGTCAGGCTCGGAGTCAGACAGAAAATGGGGGTCTACCTTCAGCCTTCCCAGTCAGTGAGCAGTTGTCTCTCGCTGGTGTAGGTGGATTTGTTGTTAGGGTTTTATCCTTGCTAAAACTGTAGGATATACTGTATTTGTGAATTGACTGTAGATTTTTAAGGGAATGGTGGGACCTGCTGGAGGAGAGAGGTCCCTGAGGCTGGGGAATGGCTGTCACAGCCCTGTTTGCTCCCCGGCTGGCAGAGAGGCTGGGAACTCTGGCAGGGTTGGCATCAGCACAGGCAGGGCTCCCGCTGCCCTCACCCTCTCGGCGCAGGAAGGGGGATTGCTTATCCTGCCTGCAGGTCTCCAGGGACAGACCCTCCCGGCACCTCGGCCCTGCAGGACGGGCTTCTGGGGCAGGGAAGGCAAGTCCGAGCTTGTGGGCTCCTGCGTTGCTGCCTCAGAGCAGCATGGACGTTTTGGGCTGGTGATTGTCTGTCCCACGTGCTGGCTGGGAACCTGAGCTTTAGCAGCTGTTGTGCACTTTCCTACACATGCTTCTAGTCTTTTGGCAAGAATTTAACGAGTTACTCCTTTAGTTACCTGAGTTAATTGTGTTTGTTAATGCTTTTCAGCTTTAAAAAGAAAAAATCCTGTATTCATCTTAATGCCTCGCTGTTGCTATGTAGGCAGTCCTTAGCCACGGGTTTGTGCATGCAAGGATTTAATTAAAACCTTAATAACTAAATAATCTCCACACAGTCTAGGCATCTATGAGATGGCACTATGGGGACATTTCTTGAGTTCCTCAATTGCACACCACATTACTATGAACTATTTTTTGATATTGGATAATAATACTCTAGCTTTGCTGGTGAGGTATATATAGATTATGAGGCAGCCTGAACAGCGAGCCCAAGAGCAGTGGTTTACTCAGGAACTGCTCAAGGTGTTTCCTTTGATGTGCCACAGCTGAGAGAGACTCGCATCTCCTAGAGACCAAGACTAAAGTATTTGTATTAGGGTGCCTGAAGTGAGTTTCCTAAACAGAAGTGGCCTGATTCCTTCTTCAGAGATACTGAACACAAAAAACTTCTTTTTTTTAAAAAAAAAAAAAAAGTTTTCACGCTTTGCAAAGTGGCTCTGACAGTCACTTTTCTGGGTGGCTGTCAGTATTTTAGGCATTGATTACTCCTGTATGTAGGGTGTTCAACACTGATGCAGCCTCTCCCCGTGTGCTACTGTGCACTCCAGCTGCAGGGCCAAGCTCCGGCTGGGCTCCGGATTTTGCATTCACCCCTGTGGAAATGTCCCACAGCCACATGAGCCATCAGTCACGGGTGTGCAGCCCTGTATTGTCATGTTAGGGTGATGGTGACAACTGCACACGCTGGTCCATGTCACAACTTTGGAAAGGTGTCACCCATTGGCACTTGGGACACAAACAGCCGCTGCGGGCCAGTCCTTGTTTGCCTGGGCTCAGCAGGGGCTTGGGGAGTGACAGGCTGTCATCTCTTACCCTGCAGCAATGCCGTAGGCTGCACCAGGACAGCAGAACTTCTCCATAGGAAGGGGCTACTCTCGCCCTTGCCTGGCACCAGAGCAGTGACCGGTTTCAGAGACAGAGCAGCCCCAGCGCCCCATGCCATGCCTGCGTGTCCTGCTTTCCTGGCTGAGCGTGGCCAATGGACCTCAGCCCCATGGTTCATCCCTTCCATGCAAGGGAGAGGGGCCGGAGCACGGTGGCACACAGTAAATTCCTCTCTTTTTGGTGCAGGAAACTAGAAAATAAAGAAACTGAACAAGAGTCTTAGTGTAAGTGGATACGAGGCAGGGACAGCCTTGTTAGCTGCAGTAGGGACATGGATGCCACTGCTTGCTGTGAGCAAAGGCATCGATGTCTGCCCCTGCCCGGGGAGAGCTGCATCCTCCCTCTACAGCCATAAGGTCACAGGCACCTGCTTTCCTGTATGGCACATACATAACTACCCCTGCAGCCCTATATCGTGCGTCATAAGCTCACCTCGTAGAAGCGGGAGCTGTCTTGGCCCTCCCTGGGTTTGCACGAAGTGACTGTAACAGATGTGTTCCACATCTGACCTCTGTTTTTCTATAGCTCCTGTGCACATTTTTAATTTAAAATTCTGCTCTTTCCTATAAAAGGTAAAGAAGATGTCAAGGTCTTGCTGTTCCCATTCCAAATGAAATGGGTTCATGTCCTGTTAATCAAGGAGTACAGCCGCAGCATTTGTCATTTCCCTTTAAAGTAATGGGTGGTTGATACCTGTCATTTCTCAAGAAACTATATACCAGATTAAGGTGTATTTATAGAAATCTCAATTGCTGGTAACTTGGCTGAAGCCACGTTTAGGCGTACCATTAGTAATGCATAATGAAATGACCTAAGTGGAGTTAGATTTGGGAGGGGGGAGAGAAAGCTATTTGAGTTGGATAGCTTGAGGATGCTGTTTTACTATTAAAATTAAGCTTCTGACCCCTGGCTCTGAAGTGATAAAAATAAATCTTCCTATATTTCTCTTCTGCATTTAATCTTCTATATTGGAAAAGATAAAGAATAAAATCTCCTTTTCTCCCTTGTCTCTTTCTGTTCTTAGGTACAGGACCTATTTATGCTACAGACCCACTCCTATATATGTTCCTGTTAATACTGCATAAGCTTGTACATTTATTAGTAAACCACTGACGGACTACTTCCTCCACTCCTCCTCAGCCAAACAAAAAGGAACCTATTTAAAAACAAAACAAACCCCTGACAAAAAAATACCTACAGTTTTAATGATGGACAGAAAGAGACTGAAAGCAGCATGATGAATTCTACATGAGGGGAAAAACATATTTTTGGGGATGCCACTGAAAGTAAACCACATAGAATAATGCATCTACTTTCCAGACTCTATGGTGTAAAGCCCTGCTCTGTGCATGGCACTTATGATTTCTCTATTTTAATGTAATATTTTTTCTTTTCTAAACCTTTCCTCTGACTCTTCATTTTGCACGAACTGTTGAGCAGTTATCTTTATGACAATATGTAAAGATGTTGGGTCAAAGCCCTTCCTAAGAAAGGAAATATTTTTAGTAGATCATTGTGTTTAGGTTTTTTTGGATTTCCTTTTTCTTTTTTAATTAAATTATTTCTTTTGGAGACATTTTAATTAAAAAGGTACATCTTACCATAATTAATATTCACTGTCAATAATATTTATTTTTAAATGAAGATTGGAAACAAGGTAAGACATTTGTTTATAAACTGTATTGTATATTGCTGAATAACAGTTGAATAAAAAGATTTTGAAATAAAGTTTTTACAGATGTGTGTGCCTTTCCCTGTGTCCTGAAGCTCCCTGAGAAGGCTTCGTGGCCGTGTCTGCTCCCTGCCTTGTCACAGCGCAGAGAACTGAGGAAAGGTGCATCACAAACCAAATAAAATTGAAATCGGTTATTTATTACACACCCCCATGTGTTTGCAAACCCCACAGCGGAACGTGCTGGCAGCGAGTCACACGCTAGAGCTGCATTTTCCTGAGGTGACACCGGTTATCTCTGGGCAGGGGACAGTGTGACAGTGTGGAGCATTCAAGGTAAGTTGCTTTGTTTTCTCCAGGCCACTTTGAAAAAAGATTAACTAAACAGTGGAAAATAAAAATGAATCAACCTGGAATGTTGTATTCCCTAGGCCTGGTTCCAGTATTTGTTTAAAATATATTCCAGTATTTGTTTAAAAAATATTCATATATTTTTAAATTACATAATTGTGTCACTGTCACTTGTGAACTTTCCTCTAGCAAAGCAAAAGGCTTTTTTATAGTAAATACAGCGGTTATTTTTCTGTTCCAAAATTCTTGGGTTTTAAGTGAGATAATAGGATGACTTGGTAAAGAAACATGACCTTCTTTAGCTGAATTTAGTGAAGTACTTTGAAATTTCCTATGTCTGACTGTGATTCTTACCCTTTCATTTGCATAGCATTTTAGAAAGCGCCTTAATTGTGGAAATGGTAAAGTGCCAGCTACAGCGCCAGCAGGACTCTGTCGGCAGAAGCTGTGGAGCAAAAGCAGGATGTGCCGTTGCCTTACCTCGAACCTGAGTCTTCTTCTAGAAGGAGGGTAGGAAGGGATTTTTCAGTTTCTCGGATAGTCAGAATTTGCTTTCTCTAGGCCTGCCAGTAATAGTGAGGGATTTGTGGCACTCCCATCTCACTAGCTGTGAGACCAAAACACACCTCTGTTTCATACATGCGGTAATAAAAGCCCTCTTGCACTGAGGCAAACTCACCATGGGGATCCAAGGGTGATACAATCTTTGTAAGAACGTTCATCCCCTTAATGCCAGCTGTAGTATCCCACGGATTGGGGAATAATCCATAATTGTCCCACAAAAAGCAGAACTGCTCTTTAGAAGGACTTGGGGGAGGTGGTTGCTGCAAGCCTGGAAGTGCATCAGAGCGTGCGACACTGAAGAGCGGGGTCTTTGGCCTCCATATGTGGACGGGAGGGGGAATCTTTTCTAACCTGGAAAGACAAGACAGGTGGGGAAAAATATTTGAATGTCGGACCATGCCTAAATTAATACCTGCCTTCATGTCTGGGAACTTGTTCAAGGACAGTTGTTCAATGCAGAGGTACGTGTGGAGTCTGTAACGTCACAAGAGCTCTAATCCTTCCAGTAATGGTCATGAAAGTGAAACCTGCCTGGGTTTGAACTGTGGGTGCTCTGGCGAGCTCATCATCGCTGCTGCTTTTTCTCAAGGGCAGTGGATATTTCTCAGTCACTTGTTTTCCTTCTAAGGGAGAGAACCAAAACAATACTTTTCACAAGAGGAAGAAGGAAATCTGCCTAAATTTATCTAAGTAAATAATTGATGCTTGAAGCAGTGGACCATGTTTATGTAGGAGTAGTTGTGCTCCTAGTTCAACTTCAGCCATACCTCAGCATGGTCTCTTAGTAAATAGATCATCTACTTTGCTCTCATACTTTTGTTTCGTCACTTACAGAGTACATTGTGTCTTAAATCGCATACTGTGTGGTTTGCAGAAAATATGGGAGGAAATACATCACTTTGCATTTGTCCTTCCCTTTGTATTGTAGCCTGTTACCTGCACGGGGATGTGGCAGCAACTGGAAGTTTTGTGTGCAGTGGCAGGAGTAGAATTATCAAGGTCTTTTAGACTTTAATCACATTAAAGGTGAAAAAATATTAAATCTGCAACTAAAAATAACTTTTTTTTTTATCCTTTCTGAGATCAGAATTAAGTGTGCCGCAGTAGGAATAACAATTCTTATATTCCAATTCACTGTAAAACCTCAGAACTACTAAACAATAACCTGAGGATTTGATGAAAAATCTCTTCTAACAAGAGCAATAGGCATCTTTTCTTTCCAGTGGAGACCTGCGCGCATGCAGAGAGAACTCATTCCCAGCACACAGGATAACCTCAACAAGGGAGCAGATTGCCCAGATAACCTGGCTTTACCTTTACCTTTCCTGTATTTCCGCCTTCAGAAACGTGCAGAATGAGTCCTCCGGGTTTTGGAGCCTTGGTTTCCACATTCGGGCCAGCTTTTTTGCCTGTGTTTGGCCCCGTATTTGCGTAGTGAAGGGGAAACAACTGGCTAAAGAGGAGGCTGCAGTTTTTAGTACAGTATTGAGTCTTTAAAAAGCACTTAGACGAGTGAGAAGCATTTAGATGGAAAAATGTAAAGAATTTGGAGCCTTATTCCTTGTGAGTGCGTTAAGGACTTTTGCTAAAACATCTGTCCTTTGAGAGTGGTCTTTCTTCTGAAAAGGGCAACTGCCTCACTTCTGCTGATTGTATTTACAAAGGGCAAAGTGAGGTTTTGCTGTACCCTTAATGGACAGAGGCTAGTGGCTAATCTTGCTCTTTCATAAATCTCAGCATTCCTCCTGGTGTCTGCTGTCAGAATCGATTAGGAATAAGTGCTTGGACTGCAGAGCCGTGGAAAGGCGGCGTGTCTCCTGCAGTGCCAGGCAGAGCCGGGCAGAAAGTCCTGCAGCGCGGTGGTGGGGTGGGTGCATCCCCGGGCACCTGGGGAGACAGCCCCTGGTCCCTGCGCTGGGGGACAGCCCAGTCAGCGGCTCCTCACCGCAACAACGCCGGCAAGCAGGCGAGCTGGGAAGCGTGAGTGATGGCTGTTAGGGGCCAGAGCTGAGTCATCTATAATATAATCATAAGGAAACACACATTTTTCCTGAGAGAAAATCAATAGAACTTTGCACTTTTCCTTGTAATATTTCCAGTCTGCGCCATCAGCCACAGTTTGCTCACAGTTATACTGCTATAAATTCACTGCGAGTTAATGGATTTCTACAAAAATGAATGGATTTACAACAGTGTAACAGAGCTGATGCTAGAGCCGTGCACATGTAAAAATACATGGAACAAAAGTAGTTTTATAGCACACAGGTGACCTTCAAAGTGCCAAGACCTAGCAAGTAAAAAGCAAAAAAAAAACTTCTTTACAGTTTGGGTGACAGAGCAGTGGCACAGACTGCCCAGGGAGGGTGTGGAGTCTCCTTCTCTGGAGATTTTCAAAACCCGCCTGGATGCAGTCCTGAGTAATGTGCTGTAGGCAATCCTGCTTTAGCAGGGGAGTTGGACTAGATGATCTCTAGAGGTCCCTTCCAACTCTGAAAATTCTGTGATTCTGTGAAATGACCGAGTTCCTGGTATGCGCCTTTTCTGGCAAAACTCCCACAGAAACTCGTGCAGTCCTGAAAACATTGCTGCGCGTGGCAAGAGGGCCAGAGACCCACCAAAGGGAAGACGGGCGAGCGAGCAGCTTCATGCTGTGGTGGAGAATGCAAAGACTATCTGAACATGTCATTTTTCAGTTGCTGCATAAAACATTTTGGAGCTTAGTCTCACTTCGAATTAGTAAGTAAGTAAATAATGTGCTCCCGAACTTGTGTGTCACAACTGGGTTGGTTAATATATGAGCTGCCTCTGTTGCATTTGTTACTACACAGTAAATTTCATGCCTAGCCAGAGGCTGGCAAAGTTCATTTATTCATTATCCCCAAACTTCGGGCAGTTATTATTCAAACTCCCCTAGTACATCTATTTAATAAGAAAAGAACAGAAAATTGATGGGATCAGAAATGTTAAAGTCTTAATTAATGCTTTTAGCAAAGACTGATGGGGGGGGGGTTGTTGTGAGAATATTAATTTGCAGTGAGTGAGCGCGCTGCTGGGTGTTGCTGGGAGCAGGGGGGGCTCGGCCCCCGCAGCCTGGTGAGCTGCCAGCCCGCGGGGACCCCACCTGCGCCACCCCGGGGGCTCTCTGCCACCACGAAGGGAAAACCAATGCTACAAGCAGTGGGAGCGTGCTGAAATAGCAACATATGCAAATCATTGCTGATTAATAGTGTTTAGATGGTAAAACACTCGCTTACAGCAGAGAGAAGACATGGGCTTTTTTTCTTCTTCACTGTTTTTGGGCTTTTGTGGTGTTTTTGTCCTCCGGCAGCCTTGCAGTGCTGCAGGTCACTGAGCTGTGGCGCAGGGGGCTGCAGGGCGGCCGGGGGCTTCGCTCTCGGGTGCGATGCCCGGAGGCAGAGCCCCGGGCTGCGTGGATGCACAGGACAGGTTTGGGGTTTGTTCACACAGGAGCAGTTAGAGTTATTCCATAGGAAAATTAACAGGCCCGAAAACAAAGGGAACGAGA